TAAATATAAAACTCTTTTATAGGATAAATTCGGTCTTAAATATAAAACCTCTTTTATTGTGTAATTTGTAAATGGGTCTTATATTTAGACCGGAGGAAATATTTTATGATTTCTTTAAAGTTTTAAAATTTAATTCACTCATTAAATTTGATTTTTTCATATTAAATTATTTTAATTTCATTGTATTATGTGAAATTATTTTTTTAATCATGTTTCATTATTTATTAAACTCATACTCATTTTGGTCATTTTACAACCAAATTTACTTTTACTTAATTATAATCCAAACAATCTTTTATCAATCTCACTTTTACAAGCTAGCTTTTATGAACTCTGATCCAAACACAATTCAACTTATCTAATTTAGCTTTATCCAACTTCACTTCTCCATAAGCTACTTTTTTAATAATCTTTTTTTCCAATCGCTGATCCAAACAAACCCATAGTAAATAGTTTCACTTTTAAGAAGAAAAACAAAACAAGTTCGAATTTCGGAAAATGTACTTGTTTGAATCGTTTTAACTTTAATGTTTTTGGCCTAACAAAGATAAGTCTTAAATCTAAAGTAATTTGAGGATTTTCTGAGCTATACCAAAAAATATTAATTTATGACAAAAATTTCTAAAACATATAATATTATTAATTATTCTATGGTTTTCAGCTTTTGGTAATTGTATATATCTTCATCATTGACAATTATTAATTCTTATGACTCTTAATTCAGCTTGAAGCACTCGTATCATGTATCACTATCACTATACTGCATGCTCAGAAATTTTAGAACTGTACCGTACGTTACGCGTAAGTTGCCCTTCCTTGCTCCTACCAATTACCAAGTCGTCCACACACATATTACTTGTAGCTTGGGTTCACATAACGTCTAGAATGACTACTCAATTTACTTCCTATTGGCCAAGCTTGATATATAGCTTCTAGGTACACTGGGTTTCTTCAAGTGCAGGTTTCAGTCTAAGGAAAAGAATGTTTAAACTTTCAATTGGAACCAGCCAAACAAAAAACTCACGTGCCAAATATAAGAGCTAAGAGTTAAATAACTAATTCTTCTTACTCTAAATATAAGAAGTCGTCGATTAATTTGCATATATTTAAAAAAAATTAGTTAAATTGATTATTTGTAATAAATACATAGTAATTTTCTTTAAAATACTCCATTTAATAATTTGGAGTGGATGTAATCCCCTGATCAAAAACCCCTTAATGTGTGTAATTAGTAAGGAGGGTTATAAATTTGAGAGACAAAATGAGCTGAGATCTTATATATTTAAAATTAAAACAAACCCTTCGTTAGCTATTATATTTAGGATTGGAGGTAGCAATTTATAGAGATTAGGAATGTTAATTAAGTTAGTTATTTGAAAATATATATTATTTTTTCTAAGAAGCTATTTTCAATCATTTGCATTGAAGACTAATCTCTTGATTGAAAATCCTCATTGAATATATATGCAATCAATAAAGATGGTTTAAGAAAAAAAATTATAAATTTAGGATATTAAGTTAATTGAAATTTTATATTTAAACTTAAAAAGAATTTCTTAATTAACTTTTATATTTAGGATGGGAAGAATGAAGTATGTGCTTCAAATATCTCTTGAGAAAATTTAATTACTGTTACCCTGGTGATCAAGTTAGCCGCTTTCTAAATGAAATTAATAATAATAATAATAATAATAATAATAATAATTCACATGCCTATGTAGTAGGACTCCACATAGCAGGACTTCTACCATTGCACGTCACTTTATTCCTACCAAATAGTCTATTATATATTCCTTCTATCCATGGTTTGCACAAAGTCTGGGAACGGAACACTTTGTCGTTTTCCCCCCTTAATACAAAGTCATACGTGAATAAAGTCATGTGAATAATTTTGTCTGACGTACTTATTACTTTTTTTTAACCTAATATCCCTAACTAATTATACAATTTTCTAACTAATTAACCAAACTCTTCTAATTCATGATCTTTGTCTAGGGTAATTTTGATAAATTATAATAAATAACTAATTTAATTAAATCATATAAAGTTATTATTGTATTCTTAAAAAATAGTTGCTTTAATTTATAGGAGCAATTATGTAGTGAGTTGGAGGTGAAAAAGGGAACATACTTATCCCAAGTGTCATAATTTTTTAAGATTCAGTGCGAGAAAAAAAAAATTAAAATTTAATAGCTGAGCCTGTCATTCTCTCTTGTGCCCTATTATTTTCCCATGACTTGCTCAAAAGTCTAAAATGGGGGGGAAAAAGAAATATTATTCATAGCAGCCTCATATATACTTATTTTATTTTCCTGTCACTGTTTTATCATGCTTCGGATGAAGAAAATGACCCATTTTAAAGAGTTATATGGCTAGGATTAATTATATAGGCATATATGGTTGCGTGTAATTAACTTTCAACGATTTTACTCCTTTTTTTAATTTTTTTTTGTTTTTGCATTTTTTTAATTGCAATTGCATTTTCAATTTTGATCAGTAGTAACTTTAGCCACACTAATAATTTTATATCAAGTGATTTTAATTTTCAGTCGTAAAAAAAATTATCAACATAATTCTGAATAAAACTACTGTCATATCTGGCGTAAAAACAAACAAACAGAAAACTGTCATGTTCCAACGGGAGTACGGACCGTTTCGTCACTCTGGACGCCATTATTGAACAGTTCAACTAAGATCCTTTGCATGAAATAACGAAGAAACACCCAATAATTTGCCGAGAAATTGCAGGTTTCAGAGCAATGAGGATTGACTTAATTGCATGGAACCCAAATTTGATGCATTGTTCCTGTCTGATAAAAGTCACGTTCATGTCCGATAATAAGTCAACTGGACGGTTTCTTTTCTGGGAATATTTCATTATCCTGGAATATTACGACTTCTTCAATTTCAGAAAACTCATTAGGCTTCTTATAATCGTATTTTCCCGGAAAATTAGTGGAAGTATCAAGTTTGAGACCAAGGACGATGTTTTCCTTATTCGGCCCGAAGGACGTTGTTTTAAAGTTCGAACGCCGTTGGCTCCAAGTAAACGACTTTTATAACAAGAGCCAAAAAAAGGGGGCCCGAGCCATTTGATTATATATACATATGAGCAAGCACATTTCATCCAGTATAACTCACATAATCATCACAGAATCCATCGGAGAAATCTGACCACCAACATCTTATTCGCTAATCCTCTGATTATCAACTACCCATATATCAAAATCTGAAGCTGAAAAGAAAATGGCGGAAAGTCCGGTGTTGTTCTTACTGGACAAGTTGACCTCTTTACTGCAAGAAGAAGTTCAGCTTTTGAAGGGTGTTCGCACAGAGGTTCAGTTCATTAAAGATGAACTGGAGCGTCTCAAGGCCATCTTAAGAATGGCCGGTGCTTTGGAGGACAAAGACCCAGAACTCAAAGTCTGGGTGAAGCAAGTCAGAGATGTAGCTCATGACATGGAAGACGCCATTGATGACTTCACTATTCGCCTCGTGAATCATCATGGGCATGGCCACAATTCTGCTTTCAGAAGGTTTGCTTCAGCCATTAAAGCTCTCAGAGCTCGACATCGGATTGCTTCTGACTTGCAAGAGATCAAAGGCAGAGTCGAAAACATCTCCAAGGATCGTCGCAGCATAACTGAGACTGGGCCAAGCTCGAATCTTTTTCATAGATCGAGGCTTGATAGCCAAGGAGATGCACTTCTTCTTGAGGAAGCTGATCTTGTGGGTATTGAGAAGCCAAAGAAGCAGCTAATTGATTTGCTTTACCATGGGGAACAAGGAAAGGCGGTGATTCCAATCTATGGAATGGGAGGGCTGGGCAAAACCACAGTGGCAAAGCAGGTTTATGATGACCCAAAAGTGAAGAAGCGTTTTAAGATGCACGCTTGGGTCACAGTTTCTCAATCCTTCAAGATCAAATTCTGGTCAAAAAAAAAATCCTTCAAGATCAAAGAGCTTCTAAGAGACCTGGTTCAACAGCTTCATAAAGTTATTGGAAAACCAGCTCCTGCAGAAATTGGCTCAATGAAAAGTGACAATCTGAAGGAGTTGGTCAAGAGTCTGCTTCAACAAAGTAGATACCTCATCGTTCTGGATGACATATGGCGGGTAAATGCATGGGATGCTATCAAACTTGCTTTGCCTAACAATAACTATGGCAGTAGAATAATGATCACCACAAGAAACAAAGAGGTAGCACTTTCTTGCTGCACTGAGTTGCAAGGTAAGATCTATAACCTGGAATTCTTACCTCAGGATGAAGCATGGGCTCTTTTCTGTAAGAAAACATTTCAGGGTAATTCATGTCCTCCTCATTTGGAGGAGTCTTCTAAGAGTATCTTGAAAAGGTGTGGGGGGTTGCCTCTGGCAATTGTGGCTATCAGTGGTGCTTTGGCTACAAAAGACAGAAGCAACATAGAAGAATGGTCAGCTGTTAGCAAAAGTATGGCATCTGAAATTGAAAGCAATGACAAAATGGAGGATATGAACAAAGTGCTTTCTCTGAGTTTCAATGATTTGCCTTATTATCTCAAATCCTGTCTGTTGTACCTGATCATCTTTCCAGAATTTTATGCCATTGAGCATATGAGGTTGATTCGCTTGTGGATAGCTGAAGGGTTTGTCAATGGAGAAGAAGGAAGGACACTAGAAGAAGTTGCAGAAAGTTACCTGAAGGAGCTCTTGAACAGGAGTCTGATTCAAGTGGTAGAGAAAGGCAGTGATGGCAGGATGAAGACTTGTCGTGTTCATGACTTTCTACGGGACATCATCAATCTGAAGTCAAAAGATCAAAACTTTGCAACACTGGCCATGGACCAGGACATAATATGGCCAGAAAGAGTCCGTCGCTTATCAGTAATGAATAGTTTGCAGACCGTACAGCAAAATAGGACTTCATTTCAATTGCGTTCTCTCCTATTGTTTTCTTTAGCAGATTCAAATGATGACATCTGTTTATCTGGATTATTCTCAAAGGGTTGTAGGCTGCTTAAGGTGCTAGATCTGCAAGATGCACCTTTGGAGTCGTTTCCTGCTGAAGTTGTCAACCTTTACCACCTGAAGTATCTAAGCCTGAAGAATACCAAGGTAAAAAGTATTCCAGGCTCCATTAAGAAACTTCAAAACCTGGAGACATTAAATCTCAAACACTCCTATGTCACGGAATTGCCAGTTGAAATATTGGAGCTGCAACGACTACGCCATCTCCTGGTGTATCGTTATGAGATTGAATCCTATGCTCATTTCCTCTCAAGGCATGGCTTCAAGCTGCCTGGTCCAATAGGATGCATGCAATCTCTGCAAAAGCTTGTTTCATAGAGGTAGACCAAGGAAGTCAAGACTTGATGGTTGAGCTTGGAAAGCTGACTCAACTCAGAAGGCTGGGCATAAGAAAGCTGAAGAAAGAAGATGGGGCTGCTTTGTGCTCATCCATTCAGAAAATGACAAATCTGAGGTCTCTATCCATAACTGCAGTAGAAGATGATGAGATCATTGACATTCAAAACATTGCCAAGCCTCCTCCATACCTGAGACAACTGTACTTATGTGGACGTTTAGAGAAGTTTCCTGAATGGATACCCTCCCTCCAGAATCTAGTCAGAGTGTATTTGAAATGGAGCAGGTTAGAGGAGGATCCTCTGGTGTATCTTCAAGATCTCCCAAATCTAATTCATCTTGAGTTCTTACAGGTTTATGTTGGTGAGACACTGCATTTCAAGGCAGAGAAATTCCCAAGTCTGAAACTTTTAGGCCTTGATGATATGGATGGATTGAAATCCATGATGGTGGAGGAAGGAGCAATGCCAAATCTAAAAAGACTGATCATCCAGAGATGTGGATCATTGAAGAAGGTACCCTCAGGTATAGAACATTTGAGTAAGCTAAAAGCAATTGACTTCTTTGATATGCCTGATGAATTGATCAATGCACTAAGTCCAAATGGAGGTAGCGATCATTGGAGAGTAGAACATGTACCTGCGGTTTATTCAACCTACTGGAAATCTGGTACATGGGATGTCTACTCAGTGGATACTTTTGGGGAGAGAGACAGTTCTTCAAGTAATAATGTTGCAATGAAAAGTCATGAGCGTCGTATACTTTGGAAGGTTTAACTTATTCGCAAACTCTTTATAGAAATGACTACAGACTTGTTCATAGCAAATAAACCAAGAAACATAGCATGTTTCTTGAACTAGGAAATTTTTTTTTTCCTTTGTCTCCTTTTGGTCATTGAATCATGACGTATGAAGTTCAATATTTGTTTTCTCGCACAGTCATGATTCATTAGATTTTCCAATGCCAATAAACAGTAAAACCAAGCTGGTTGCTGATTTTTAAGTGATGCAGAAAAAAAACTCACTGAATTTTACCTTCCATGTGGGGTGCATAAGCTATGGTAGTACCATGATGGTGTTGATTTAGGAGTCATTAATCTGGCTAAATTTCAAGAGATCCATTCTATCTGAATACCAGGTGCCTCAAAGCAAGAGACTAAAAAATCTTGGACAGAAATTTTACTGCTTATCCACTTTTCAATTTCTGAGCTTGCAGGTGACCAAAATACCTATGGATATTGTTATTCTAACTACATAAAATTCATCACATAGTTGTATTTCCCCCTTGTGAACATGTTAATTGATGCAGCAGTGCAATCTTTTGCTGTTCATCCTAATAATATACTCTTCTGATCTTATTTATAAGATATTTTCAATATGCTTCACATTGAATAAGAAAAATTTTATACCGTATTAACTCTCTCTTAAAATATAACAACTTTTCAATTTAATCTCTTTTTAATGCGTATATTTAAAAAAAAAAAACTATCTATTCTGTAATAAATGAATAACAAAATAATATATTGAGCATGCTAAAATTTAATGATGTAACTTATAAATAGGATAAAGAAAATTTTTGTCACTTCCTTATAAATAAGGCCAGAGGAGTATTTTTGTTGTGACCTTAGTGAGAATGAAAAATGTTATAAAACTACCGTTCGAAGTTTAGAATTTTGTTTCCAAGGTATCTAGATTTTCTGTTACCCGGAGCTACTTTTTTTTTTTTTTTCCCCGGGGGCGGTCCATACGATATTACCTTCAACAACAGGTGACAAGTATAATCAGCAAAGTCAAATACACAAAACCAATATAAGAACTAAAACTCAAGAACAAAACTATAGGAATAAGTGTGTTTGAGGTTGAAAATTGAAATATAACTTAGCCTGAAAGTAATAAGAGTATGTGAAAGTGTGATACTAATATTGTGAGAGTCAAAGAAAGGACGTGACTTCGAACGTTCGCGACTGGGCCAAATAGAGTGCAAATAGAGTACAAGCAAACTTTAGATATAATTAGAATAATTTTTTTAATCTAAATTATTATTTTTGAAATAAGGAAAATTATACTAAGGTCCCACAGAAGATAATTAATTTGGAAAAAGTCTCTAGAAATTCCGAAATGATTTCTAAATCCCCATGAACTTGTGTGTAATAAATTGTAATTGTGAAATTATCTATTTGCTCCCATTAATTTGAACCAAATGCAATTCATTTACAACTTCAACGGTAGCTATTGACAACCCGAAGAGAAGTGGTTAACAACTTTGGTACTACCCTTGGTATCCCACAGAGTGAGTTGTCAAGGACACTGTCGAGGTTGTCAACCACTTCTCATCAGGTTGTCAACAACCACTGCTGAGGTTGTAAATAAATTGTTGCAATAAAATTAATGAAAGTAAGTAAGTAATTTTACAATTACAATTTATTACACACAGTCCCTGGGGACTTAAAAATCATTTCAGGATTTTCAGGGACTTTTTCTTAATTAATTGTGTTCTGTGGGACCTGAATGTAATTGTTCCTTTTGAAATTTAACCCTAAAATTTTTTTATATATTATATTTTATATCAAGAGTTAATATTGACTGGCTAATTATTTATTTCTTCAACTACAGAAAATGTGAGCACGCGTACTCAATTATTTATTGACCAGACTTGTTATTTTAGTGTTTAGACAATGGATATGCTGATATAGGGTATGTTTGGATTGGCGTTGGACAAAACTAACTTATAGTCTAACTGACTTTTGTAACTGAAGTTGGAGTAAAAATCAGTTAGTGTAATATGATTTATGTTTGGATAGGTGCTTATAAAAAGTCAGTTGAAAAAGTTAAAAGTTGTTTGGATGATTAATAGAAAAGTTAGTTTGGTTGTAAATGACTGAAAATGACATAGACTTTATTGAATAATAGTATTTGAAATTATATGTTTTTAATGTGATAATAGTTTAAAAAATACATAAAATTATTATGGTAAAATATAAATAGTTTATTTGTGAGATTATAAAATAAAAATATTTGTTACGGAGAAAAATTTAAAAACACCTTGTAGATAATTAATTAAATATACATAATGGATAAACAAGAATATAAATTAAAATTTATTTGGTCTCTAATTAAAGTAAATGAAATCACATGACTAATTAGATCGTAAGCTTTGTACAATTTTCCTATAAGTCAGTTAGAAAAGTTACTTTTTCCCATAAGTCAGTTAGAAAAGCAGTCCCATCCAAACAATCTTCTGAGCCACAATAAGCCACTAACCTCAGTTTCACGCTTTCCCATATGTTTTTGGCTTCTCCAACTGCAATCCCATATGCTTTAGTCATGCATTGAACTTCTTCAAGCGGTTTCGGTTTTAGAAAAAGGCGCAAACTTTCAAATTGAACAAAAAAATTATAATTTAAATATCTCTTAAGAAAAAAATTAATAATTGTTAAGCATTATGATCAAGTTACACGCTTTCTTGATGCTTTGCCCAAGATGACTATCTTTATTATATTAATTAATTAATTAATTAGTTTGTTGTTTTCAACTTCTGGTAATTTTTATCCCAGAACTTTGCTTTTTCGGAGAAAAATGCATGCGGACCAAAATGCCTTTCACATTTAACATTAATCACAAAAATGAATTTATAAAAAATTTATGGTCACAATTAGACGATCGGTTTATGTGAAATATTAAAGCAAACTATACCATGCGTGTTTTAATATTTTATTGCTTGGTTTGTAGCTCAATTTATAAATTTTATCTTGACACAACTTGGTCTAAATTTTTTTTTTGATACAACTTGGTCTAAATTTTAAATTGGTTATAATTCAGTCTCTAAATTTTAACTTTATGTTACTCATTTTTATAATTTAATCATTTAAAAATTAAAATTTTAAATTGTTAAAACTATATGAATCGAGTTGTAATAAATTAAAGTTTAGGGAATAAGTTTTAACTGAAACAAAATCATGGACGCCAAAATATACGACACCCCTCTAAGCTCTAAACCAATTGCACATCACCTTTCTGACTTTTAAAATTTTAAATTAAGAACCCCATATTTTATGTTTTGATAATAAACATTCCTCCCATTGAAATTGATGTTAACTTTAACGATTTTGCGATGTCACTATTTTTATATATTTTATTATATACTATATTGATTAAAAAAATAATATTTAGCATTTGACATGAAATTTGAAACATTTTTAAATACTTAAAGTAAAATAATTAAAAGTATAAAATACTTGAAAAAATACTTAAAATCTTTATCTAACCATTTTTTAAATAAAAAAGTATAAAATACTTAAAAATTACATGTCAAATACTAGGTGTTATTTTTTTAAATTGATATGGTATTTAATAAAAAATAAAAAAATTTTAACATGACAAGAACCGTTAAAGTTAACAACAATTTTAACGGTAGGAAAGTTTATAGTTGAAATATGAAACACCAGGTTCTTAATTGAACTTGTAAAAGTGAGGGAGGTGATGTACAACTTACTCAAAGTTCAGCAAAGTTTCATGTGTTTTAACTAATTATGTATGATGTAAAGATTAATTTTCCAGCCTTGATATCATGACTTGTTCAATTTCAGAAAACTCATTAGTCATTAGGCCTCTTATCCTTATATTAATTCCATCAGAAAAATCCACCCACCGTCCGCTACCGCTAGTCCTCGAACTGTCAAAGTACCCTGTCAAAATCTGAAGTTGAAAAGAAATGGAAGAAAGTCCGGTGTTGATCATACTGGACAAAATGACATTTTTATTGCAAGAAGAATTGAATCTGCTGAAGGGTGTTCGAACAGAAGTTGAGTTCATCAACGATGAACTGGAGCAACTCAAGGCCATTTCAATGGCCGCTGAAGATACTTTGGAGGACAAAGACGATCCAGAACTCAAAGTCTGGATGAAGCAAGTCACAGATGTATCTCATCACGTGCAAGACGTCTTCGATAAGTTCACTACTCGCCCTGTGGATTACCTCAAACATGGCCACGATTCTCCTTGTAAAAGGTTTGCTTCCGCCATCCAAGCTCTCAGAGCTCGATATTGGATTGCTTCTGATATACAAGAGATCAAAGGCAGACTAGAAACCATCTCAAAGGATCGTCCCCGCGCAACCGAGACTGGGTCAAGCTCCAGTCATCTGGATATAACAAGGCTTGATGATCTTCAAGGAGATGAACTTCTGGTTGAGGGAGCTGATCTTGTGGGTGCTGAGAAGCCTCTCTGTCATAATTAGCCTGCAGAATTGTGTTCTCTACTGCTATTGTTTGCTTTATCATATTCACCAGATGATATCTCCATATATATATATATATATATATTTATTTATATTTGCATTATTCTCTCAATGCATGGTTTCAAGCTTTCAATAGGATGTTTGCAATCTCAATAAGAGCTTTGTTTCATGGCATAGAAGAAGAAGGTGGTGAAGTTTTGAGACGTAATTAAGATATCAATACGAGCCTTTCTACCTGATATCTCAACGTAGTCTGCAAAATTAGGGCTCAGGCTATAAATATATATATATATCTCTCTCTCTCTGTGCGCGCGCGCGCGCGCTTTAAACCATACATGGCTTCATTTTGTCTTTTTGAGCTTGTGCCTCACGATTGCTTCACGACCATCTATGTAACAAGGAAACGAGCAGGACAACAGAGAAGTTGCTAGGTTCCTTCAAAAGCTGACATGGCATCCATAAGTTTCCCACGGTTTTTGCTCTATCTTCAGTGTGCTTGATTGGAGTTTCCACGCGACTGGATACAGTAGTTTATTCTCAACGTACTTCAACCGTATTATCTTTGGTCCTTAATATAAAAATTTATTTGACTTTTATTTTGGTTTTAAATATGAGACTCCAATTTTCTTTATCTTTCATATTTATTTATTTTTTCCTAAGATAGCTAGTCATTATAATAATGATAATTTTAGTCAATACACTTGATTATCAGAGATATTTTAAGAAAGACAACATCTATTTATTAAAAATATCTAACTTAACTAATTTTTTTAATCTATTTAAATTAGTCAATTGGCTTTTAT